GTGCTCAGCAATGCGAACTTTCAATGGCGAACTTTTAATTACCTCTTAGTTTCACCACTTCTCATCCTTTCCGATAATCCTCTGATGTAGGAAAGTACAAGTACTGGTTGTGACGGCTTCTCTTCCTTGTGGAGCTCTTGCTGTCTTCTAGCTGAAGCCTGTTCTACCATCACTCTGGAGTAACCATTCCGTTGAAGGTCATTTTTGATGATGCCTAGTTCCTTTTCGATACCTTCCTTTGTATTACAGAGCCCGAAAGCACGGTCTAGTAGAGTCTTGATGATTCCTCTCTTAGCCGATTGATGGTGGTTGGATTTCTGGTTCAGATACTGTCCTGTGTGAGTGGGTTTTCGATATACATATGTTTCCCATTTAGAATCGGTCCTCTTCACCAATACGTCTAAGAAAGGCAGGTCACCATCTTCTGATAGCTTCTTCTGTACGATTTGAAGTGCTTCTTCGACAGGAACGTTGGTATAGAGGCTTTCTACGTCGAAACTGATCAGTTGATCCTGCTCTTTGACTTCGATTTCCCCTAGTATTTCAACGAAGTGCCTTGAATTTTCCCTGTGATGTTTTACTTTACCGTGGTTTGATTATTGGCAGTAAAAATCGGACAAGTTCTGAATGGCTGAATCTCTGGAGCTAATGATTGGTCTGAGCATCCTTTATGTGGATTTTGGATAGTCTATACAAGTGAGGGGACTTACTGTGGTGCGGTGTTAGCGATGATCTCTTTTTTTCTGAAAAATAGACTTGGTGTTTTTTCAAAGTCTGGTACAACTTCCTTTCAATTGATGCAGTAGGGTCTCTTACGATCTTCGTGTATTTTCCTTTCTGAAGCACCTCTTCGATCTGCTCTTCGTAGGGATCAGTATCCATCACAACAGTAGCGTTTCCCTTATCTTCAGGTAAGATCTTGATGGTGTTGTCTCTACGTAGCCCGTTCAAGGCTCTTCGTTCTTCATTGCTGACGTTAGAAGTTGGAACTGGTTCTCGATCTAGCTGTTCTCTGATTCTCCATCTGAATTATTCTACTTTGATCAGATCTATAAGGGAACTGGTAGACTCTACTGCAGTTATCATTTCCAAAGTGGGCATAGATGTTGGTGCAATGCCGAAGTTTAGACCTTTCCTCAACAAAGATTGCTCTATGTCCGTGGGCGTGCGGGAACTCATATTGATGACGTTGGAGGCTTCATAGTTGTCCTGATCTCGTTCTGCATTTCGGCATTGTTTCCTCACCAACTTCCCACTTCAGGTTGTGTGTATTCTCCATGTCTTGTTGGATCTACAAGCACATGCTTTCAATCTTGGCAAAGATTGGTCCATACTCCTCTTCCTAGGTCTCTCTTTCCATTTCTTCAAATCGTTCTGTGGCATCCTGCATCAGAGTTGACCTCTTCCAACGGTGATAATTAATTTGAGACCTTATCAGTGCTCGGCTGGCGCGTTCCAATATGCCTTTGGCTCTCTCTCCTGGGATTAGTGATATCAGCAAAAAACCTTTGGGCATGATGTTGTTGTCTCTAGTTCTGCACAAGAAGCTAAGGTTAGTTTCTTCTTTGGTAAGCTTGACCTTAGTCTTCTCATATCCTCCTTCCTATTTCCAATGCTCCCAATGAATTCATCTCCTTTCCAAGTTAGAGAATGGAGTGTAGCGCTCAAAAATACTTGAAATGATGACAGTGGCATATGGTGATTGTACTCAGAGTCAGAAAAATGTTTACAAGTGCTACAAGCCTTTGATCGAAGGTTGAGAAGCTATGAATGACGACGCTCACCATGGACGTCCCAGTACATCAAAAACCGATGAAAATGTTGAGAAACTGAAGAAAATTGTTATGGAGAATCGCCGAATCACTATTAGAGAAGTTGCTGGTCACCGTAATCATGCCTCAGCAACCGTATTCACCAGATTTGCCTCCCTGCGACTTCTTTCTGTTCTTGGAAAAGACCCATGGAAAAACAGCGTTTTGGGGTGATTGAAGAGATAAAAACCGAATTGCTTAGAGAGGTCAAGGATTGTAAAAAACTCTGGCACAAGTTTATTATATATGGGAAAGGGGTTTCTGAAAAGGAAACAATAGAAATTGTGTCTTGAAAAAAGTAGTATAGAAAGAATGTAGGAGCACATCAAATCATATCTGAAGAAGAGTTTTTCATTCAGTGTGAAAAACAATTGAAAAAGTATTATTCCTGAGTCAACCTCAAAAATATCAAACCATTTTCCTGATGTGTTTCAGACTTGGTAAAGGTACTTATTCTGGGGACAATTTGGGTGGCAAGACAAGGACACAAAATCGACAAGAAAGTAAGAAAAAGAGCATGAGTCCGAAAAAAGATAATTTCATATTGACCATCGCATCAAAATGGACAGAAGGCAAATAGTTCCATATATCTATAATTGTTTCAAAGTTTACTACTTGCGCTCGTGAATTCAAATTACGGACTTATCCAACATTTTCAAACAAAATTCTTCAGTTTCATTCATACCTTTGATGGCCAAGTTGATGCTCTGAGACTCCCGTTATTTCGTTTACTATTGAATTCGCCCATTTAATTCGCAGAGAATCAAGTAATGACAATTCTTTGTTTTATCAAATGAGACATAAATTTCATTCTGTTTGATGACCCCGAAAAGCAAGTAGAGTATCCAGTTCAGCAGTTCCAATTCAGAAATTTATAAAATATTGAAAGAACTATCAATATATTTAAAAAAATGAAACTGATCACTGTCTGTCTGTGCGCTGTGTCCTCTAGCTTAAATAACAACCGATTTTGGTGCTTTCACGGTTGTGTTGTAATAAGCTATACAAAATTTTGTTGAAACTTTGGTTAACTATATTTTTCGTTTATGAAACGATATTCTCACAATACACGCGATAAAAGTTACGGCAACAGTTACGAAAATAGTTTTGAATGGTTGGATCATAGACGAACAGATAATGTTCGCATTATTGCAGAAGTTTATGATTCATTTTGATTTTTGCAGGAGTATATATGGAATGATAAGGAATGTTGCTCACCTTTATTTAACGAATTCACATATTCAGACTGTATTTGATGAAATGATGATGATATGAGGTGGATATTCAGATGAAGCATTCTTCGAATGAAATTGAATGGGGTATGTTTTTGGAAGAGAGAAGTCTTCATGAAAGAAAGGGCTTTCTACTTCTCCATATTTTTATACATGAAAATAAGTGGAAATTCCAAAAGAACACCATAAATAGAAGTTACCTCCAAATACCAAGCAGAAAAAAAATCCTCTTCGACATAACGTCTTTTATATAAACATTGAATTACACTGAGTACTTTCGGAACTACTACTTCCATATACACGTTGAATTATGAAAAAAAATCACGTTTTATTCAGTTTGTATTTCTAACATTCGATTTTCATAGAAACGATAAATATTATGAGAGAAAAAGAACTGTTAATCATGACTTCATCCTGCAAGAAAGCACAAATTTCCTCTGAAGAAAAACTTGCTTACAAATATCTGTTGGATGTATAGGGTCTTTATTCTGTTTTATCTTCAAATTAAAATAAAACAAAGTGTATGTGAGATATCATCAAAATTTTCTATTCGTTTTAAAGGCCTATTCAAAAAATTGTTTACTTTTTGGTATAGAAGAATTGGAGAAGATGAGTCATATACAGTAAGAAGAAATTTTTAGGCATATATAGTAAAGACACGCCTGACGAAGCTATTGTATAACGAAACACGTTTAAGTTTTTGTGAAAATGTCACCATGAAGTGTTTCCTGAATACTTTCGATTTCCATCAATTATCGGCCAATTTCATTAAATATATAATACACTGATTTGAGATCAAGTTCGAATCATGATTCCAAAAATTCAAGGAATGTAGTTGCGAAGTTGAACCTCCTGAAAAACTATCTGTGAAAACTGGTTTCATATTCCCTCCGAACGTCAACAGCCTTGCAAGGCCGTCAACGATCGAAACGTAACCTAAAAAGAAGAAAAAACCCTGGAACCCAACCCGCTCAATACAATTAAATCGGACCAACACAATGATACAGATCTAGAATTCGTTGATTTGTATCCGGAACATAAAAAGTGGATTTAATCTGATCACAGACAGATGTTTATCCATTCAATTGCCGTGTTTTCCTCACTACAGGGGACTGAGATTTTTTGGTGGATTGATTCGTTATAATTCTTAAGATCGTAATTATTATCCGAACAAGAATATTCGAAGCAATCTGGTGCATTGCGCAAAGTTTGGGAACAATCTTTATGAACTGGGCAAGCTGTATTGAATATTGTCATGATTTATGTTAATATACAGGGTGTAACTGAATAAGTGTAAAACATTTAAGGAGGTGATTCCTCATCGAAAAAAAGATAGGATCTTTCATATAAAGAAACTTCATTTGAGCATCCCTTGTTAAGATACAGCCCCTTAAAGGGGGTACATAAAATTTGTATAACAATTTTTTTCACAAGCACTGAAAAGTTACAATATTGAAATTAACCTGACGTTCTGTACTACGAAAAAGACACCCAGCCAGTAATTTATTTGGTCTACCCCATGGTTGTAAGGGATGGATAACGCAACTCCTTGAGTTCATTTCCAGTGTAACTTTTTGTCTTATGATTTGTTTACCATTCAAAAATTTATTTCCGATAGCCTGTTTCATTCTAAACCAAAAATATCTCTTGGGTTTTTTGCCCAGAATGAACCAGTTCGCAGCAAAAAATTATTTTACGAACAACTTGCCAAAGAGAGTGTGTGTTCGGCGGGTCTTGGTCTACACCTGCCAATAAAAAGGAGATGTCTCCTAAAGACATGTACACCTTCATGGAAAGGACAGGATGGTCGATGTCCTAGGAGGACAACTCCTTGGGAGGATGTACAATGGGTCACATGTGGCCTGAGTGCTGTGGACCTACACTCACCCTCCCTATTTTAGAGACACAGATATGGTTAAAAAATTCAGGTCAAAAATTCATCAGTCAGTAACAGTGGATCACTACGAATATTTTTGCTTTATTTGCTATATAGCTCTCATAGATTGAAAAAATATTACAATACTGGTATTATAGCACTGGAGGCAATTCCACATTGATCATTGGCATTTCTTGACATCTTGATGTAACCATTATCTCCCCACCAATCTCCCCAGGAGTTCTTGACAATCCAGTAGTCTTTGCCGTTCTCTGTACCATATCCAGTAACAAGGACTGCGTGGTTCGTTTCCCAGTAGTGAACAGGACACAGTGGATCATCGTAGATACCTGAAAAAGTTTTTTTCGAATTATTTATATCCAACACGTATTTTTTTATTTCTAATAAGGTAAATCAAGAGAACAAGCCCAATAACAGGATGAGGAACATTTACAAATCCCAATTTGTGTTGTGTGCATCTGAAAATATGAATTCCCGTAAATAACGAGTATACCAGGGTGGTCCAAGAAGTACCTGGCCTGACCTAGAGATGGCGGTGGTTGTTTGAAAAATATTAGAAGATAGACAATCTATGAAATGTATTCAGTTAACTTGTATAGTGATCCAATAATTTTTCTGTAAAAAAGGTTGGTTGCTTAACGATGTTTCGAATTTAATCAAATTCTTCTTCAGGGCCCTGTAACAATGGATTTTCATAAACATACCTTCCACAAAACGATTATAATCGTTTCAATTTCACAAGAAATAATGAGTTCTTGATTAAATTACTCACCGAAAAGTAGTTTTTTCGAGTTGATGATATTACTATTTTAAAAACCATCAGACATATTAGATAGATATCTTAAAAAAATGAAAATCATTCCAACAGCCAAATTTCCAAGACAACACCAACAGAAAACGACATGAAACATACGAATGGAAACAGAAAGACCGAAAAAAAGGGCAAATTGTTAAGGTATTTTACTCATCAAATTGATATATGCATTATTAATGCCAATGACATCTGTTCTAGTGTTAACACAATTGGATTTTGAGGATATGTATCATTTCGCTCAAAAATCTTTTGGATAAATATGGCTGAACATCTAGAATAGTTGGATGATCAAAATCAAAAATGTGTCCATTTTCAACGAGAGCTGTGGGGTTTATATTCAGTTTTTTGTAGTCTCTAATGTGTTCTGAAACTCGTGTTATAAGATACCGTCCAGTTTAACCAACATAGTATTTGTGACAGCTTTCATAGTTCAATTTGTATACTATATTGGATTGTATTTCTTGTCGTGTTTTTGTTTTTTGTTTCGAGAAAAAATGATTTCCAACTGTATTTTCATTTGATGTATGTTTCAAGTTTCAAAACTCAAAAGGGAGAAAGAAGTCGAAGATCGTTTCATCTGCAGGCAAGGTCATGGCATCGATTTTTTGACATGCCCGTAGGGTGATTTTCATTGAATATCTTGAAAAAGGTACAACTATCAACAGTGAGTTTCATGCGAACTTATTGGAACGCTAAAATAAAGTGTTGTTTCATCAAGACAATGCACCAGCTCACAAATCCATTACCGCAATGTTGTGTTGTTGTGCATATGTTGTGTGCATATGTTGTGCATATTGTGTACATTAGAGATTGTTTTATTATATTTGTACGCGGAGTGTTGAGATGACCGTCTAGGAACCCAAAAATTCAACATATGTAACGGTTGAGAGCATATGATGATATTGTTTATGACATTGACTAAAAAAAAGGAATGAATAATATTTACGCCTTACCTCGAGACTACAAAAATTGTGAGTTACAAGCAATTCATAAAACATTAGGATACGTGCCTTCAAGTTTAACATTACATTTGGATATGTTGAGAGATAGATTATCCTTCCGACACCATGTAACAACGAGATTTTAATTCAGGGCGAGACGTTCGCAATCATTAGAATATGTTATATTGTGATAGAGTTTTAAGCCATCTTCGTATAAAAGGAAATTGACATGAATCTCAGCTCCGATATCATTAATGAACATATTGAACAGTAGGGTTCCTAGTTTTGATCCTTGTGGTACACCAGATGTGAGTTGAACGTACTTACTGTTGTGAAAATACGATTTGAAGAGGGTAATTAATTCATTGGATAACCCAAAAGTCAAAAACTTGTTGAGCAGGATACTATAGTCAATACCCTCTGCAATACATTGAGTAATTGTTACCAGATTGGTGGTGGGTGAACGTCCTTTCATGAAACCGTGTTGATTGGGGCTAATAATGTTGCTGACATGACAATAGATTGTCTTCTCAAGAAGCATTTCAAACACTTTACAAAAGTTGCATATGATAGAGATTGGTCTGTAATTTTTTTATCTCAATTTCATCCCCTTTTTTGAAAATTGGGCAGACTTCCAACATTTTCCATATTGATGGTACAGTTGATGTTTTCAGGCATATATTAATTAGAGTTATTAGTGGTTCAACCAGAGCTGAGGCACAATCTTTAATGATGACTGCTGGAGTATAATCAGGTTCCGCAGAAAATTTAGGCTATAATTTTTGTAGGGTATGATAAACATCTTCAATACTAAAGTTTTTGATTACTGAGCAGGGAATATCACTACTGTTGTTCGCATGGTCACTTGATGTTGACATAATATTGAACTCAAGTGGATCAACAAGCACCATTCAATGGCTCAAAAATTGTAAAATTGAAAACTACTCTGCTATCAATGACCAGTTAATTGGTACTTCATTCTGGAGTAGCCACTTTGGTATTGCAATGAAATCTTAAATAATATTCAATCATGAATCAACTTTCGTTCTTACCTGACGAGTATGACCCAAAACTGTCCCTTATAGCTATTCTAACAGAAACGGGTCCCTTCAGTGCTACATTTCTCTTCAAGTCATACTCATCTCCGCGATGTATCCAATCGTAATGGTTTATTCTGGTGACAACATTCGACAGATTGTATCTGCAAGCACCAACTTTTGTTTCGTATGGATAAGCAGTTTGTTCCATGAGTCCATTAGCCCTGATATAATCCATACCTTCATTTGTTTGGCCCCCTGCGCAACCAAACCATGGAAGACAGTCGACTAGTTGTTGCTCGCTAAGCGAAATTAGTTTTCCAGTTTTTATAAAGTATTGGCTTTCTACCGCACCAGTCTAAAAAAATTGTAGGTAAGATTCAGCCGTAGTGTGCAGATTTTTATGTCCGACGTTTCATCTACTTCTGCGGTAGATATTTTCAAAGGCGATGAGGTTATGGTCGATGTGCGCAAGTTTTTGCTGCCTTGGGCAAAACTTTGACCATCAACTCTTTGCCTTTGATAAAGTCTACCGCAGTAGTAAACGAATCGTCAGATCAGGTTGCGTTAAGTTCAACAGGTCAAACTCCACTAAGTTTTTTAACAAAGCCTATATGACTTCATTTGCTGAATGATCTTTCATATCTCATGATATTGATGATAATGTTGAGAATTTATTGATTACGATAATAATGATTATAAAATATTAATAATGAGCATAGGCAGGGATGGTCATCCCAGATCGGGAGACTTTGGTGAGTTACGCTATTTGGTTGTATTATATCATTGAAGAGTTCCATTATGTTATGTGACTGCCATAAATCAATTAACCGAATAATGTCAGTAAAATGGACAATGTCAATAAAATATCTTTACGGAGTCATAGATACTGCATTCATAGTGAGTAAATTCTTGATGAATAGTGAGAATACTGGAAAAACAGTGAGTAAATGTGAGTTAAAGATAGTGGGTAAATAATTAATGAATAGTGAGAAAACTGGATGAATAGTAGTTGAATGTGAGTTATGAATAGAGAATAAATTCCTACAGCAGTCAAATTGTTACTTGGGCATTGTCAATGAAATATATGCATGCGAGTCATAGATACTGAATACATAGTGAGTAAATATTTGATGAATAGTGAGAATACTAGATAAATAGTAAGTAAACGCGAGTTATGAATAGTAGATGAATTTCTGAAGCATTCTAATTTGTTACTTGGCAAATGCCACTGAAATATTTTCATATGAGTCATAGATACTGGATACATAGTGAGTATATACTTGATGAATAGTGAGAATACTGGATAAATAGTGGGCAAGCAATATCAGTAAAATATTTCCATGTGAGTCATAGATACTAGATAAATGCTTGATAAATAGTGAGCATACTGAATAAACAGAGGGTGAATGTGAGTTATAAATAGTGGATGAATTCCTATAGCATTCAAATTGTTACTTGGGCAATGTTAATGGAACATTTCCATATGAGTTTCACTTGAAGATTTTAGCGGAGTACTCTCCTTCCAAACAATGACCTAAATATCTGATTTGGTTTTGATTTCTTTCGTTGAAAGCCCCGTGTATACCCAACTATACCAACAGAGATTTCTAATTCTTCTGAATATAATTTTTTTTTTTTTTACTTTCTTATTAGTCAATGGGCTATGCTTGAAGACTGGCAGTAAACAAATCTAAAGCAAATGGAACTTCAAACGTTCAAGCCAGTCTCTATATACCTACACAGTAGGTTTAATGGACTGACGCCTATCAGAAAACAACTACTCCCCTGGCAAATACCACGAAGGGCGTTGGATTATATCAGACAGGCGTCAGTGCAGGAATCTTCACAGAAAATGTCCTGCATATGCAATTGGCAATACAACTGAAAGAGTCGACCTTCAATTATGGAACGGGCACACTTGCAGACCGGTTTCGGGCTTATTAGCCACTCATCAGTGCAAGATAGTGACCATCATCGACCTAAAGTCAATGATATTCCACAATTGAAAATCGGAATTCTTTCAGAGTATTTCATTCATTTGATGTTCGCTCCAACTTCGGAAGAGGAATGAAATACTCTGAAAGAATTCCGATTTTCAATTGTGGAATATCATTGACTTTAGGTCGATGATGGTCACTATCTTGCACTGATGAGTGGCTAATAAGCCCGAAACCGGTCTGCAAGTGTGCCCGTTCCATAATTGAAGGTCGACTCTTTCAGTTGTATTGCCAATTGCATATGCAGGACATTTTCTGTGAAGATTCCTGCACTGACGCCTGTCTGATCTAATCCAACGCCCTTCGTGGTATTTGCCAGGGGAGTAGTTGTTTTCTGATAGGCGTCAGTCCATTAAACCTACTGTGTAGGTATATAGAGACTGGCTTGAACGTTTGAAGTTCCATTTGCTTTAGATTTCTGAATATTACTTTTTTTTCAGTTAGACATCGAGTGCAAACTTAGAAAAAATAAAAAAGAAACCTATGAAATACATACACTACAAGCTAACTTACAATACTGAAAGCCCAGCAGGATCCACACCCTCCTTGATTCTTAACATGGGTAACTGCACCAGCTTCTGTCCAATTCACTTCTTCAGGCAAATCTTCATGGACATTAAATTTTGCTTGTTTTGGGTTCATGTCTATAGGAGGAGAGGGAAAAGAAGTCATCAAGTAAGTTCTTCTGAATTCTTCGGCAGTCAGATCAGAAAATTGGTTGACCCCCATTTGGTAAGAAGATTCACCGTTTCTGTATTTCTCATTATGTTCTTCGATTCTGCGTAAATTATCCAGAAATATATTGAATCGCTTGTTTTCCTCTTCAGTATTTTCATAGGATTTGGAATGTTTAATCTGAAATGGAAATGAACATCAGAAATAATTGTAATGAACTGTTTGGAACCTGTTTGGAACTTATGTTGTAGTAATTAATATTACTGGAGTTTCGGTAACGTGTTTCGATCAGCAAGTGATTATCTTCAAGAGGAAGATTAAAATGTAGATGATCACTTGGTGATCTAAACACGTGTTGAGGTGTTGAAATAACGGTTTGGTGTTGGGAAATAATCTTTACTCATTCTTATTTGTACATGTTAGGAATCACACGTTAAAAGGTAAGACCTCATTAATCCTTAGCTCGCACAAGTTTCGACTTCTGAGGGTTGTCGTTCGTAGCAGTGTGTCAGCTGGTGAACGGAAAAACAGAAATTTTCAAACAGTGTTGAATATATATCATTCTTCCAATAGTCGCCCAAATTTTCAAACTTCCATAAGCTCATGACTAGAAATCGTATCAAAATGGCGATTATGAAACCAATTTTTTTTTTTACGAAACACTGCATTATCTCTTAAACAGCAATGAAGGCCATTTGGAGTTACTTTTATAAAAGAAAAGTAATAGAAGAAAGAAATTAATTTCCACTTAAACATTGTACCTGTCTTTTTTTTGAATTTGCAGAAAACGATGTGATATGCAACAACATAGCTTTGATTACATTCATTGAAAATGAGTTATCTCCATAGTCATAAGATATGAAATATTCACAATAATGTGAAAACTAAATCACTGTTAGATCGAAATGTACATTTTCAAACCAATAAAATGAAAGCTGAGCCACTATAGTCTGGTTCACATGTACTCGATTTAGCTCTTTTTGGTGACATTTTTCAGCCCTGTCCAAAAATTACGACCAAGGTGTCATTCGATTCGTATTTTTGCCTAGAAAGTTTAAGAAAAGGTCTGAAAACGCGCCGATAAAAATTACAAAAGTTATACACTATCAGGTGAAAAAAAATGAGGCTTTAGTTTTTTATTGATATCTCGTAAAATTTTCAAAATTTTGGAAATTTGAAAAAAGATTTGAAAAGATCAATGAATTTGCGTAAAAAAAGTCTCGATTCCCGAAACTGTATCTCGATTTTTTATAATTTTTACAGAGCCCTGAAAATAGAGCCAAAAGTGGGTAGTCTGGCTTCCGCGCGCCTTTCGTCACTCTGATATAGAAACAAAAAAAATTATTTAAATATATCAAATGTAAATATTAAGGAACGAAAAAATTCATGTAATGTTTGGATACATCAATAAACAATAATCCGCAGTCAAAAAATTTTCATCCCAATTTTAACGTTAATTATAAATTTGGTAATTTTCTGAATTGAAAGTTAAAATAAAAATCCCTATAATCATTAAACTGAAACCCTGGCATTTAAAATTTTGAAAATTTTCCGAGATATTAAGAAAAAACTAAAGCCCCTTTTTCTTTTCACTTAATTGTTTATAACTTTTGTAATTTTTATCAGCGCGTTTTTGGACCTCCCCTAAAACTTTCTAGGCAAAAATACGAATCGAATGACACCTTGGTCGTAATTTTTGGATAGGGCTGAAAAATGTTACAAAAAAAAGTACATATGAACTAGACTAACTAAAACAGAATTTTACTGCAATAAAACATCTCTTGCGATCAACGAATAAACCGACAGAGATAAAACTCTCAGGTCTTAATTATGCATCATTCCCATAATTTCAATCACTCTCCCTATTTAATTGACCCAATTGAATCACATATTCGATTATGATTGTGACTACATATTGAAACTTCGCATAAATGCTTCTACAAAATTCACAAGTTTCATATGACATTATGATTACGATAGTGACTAGGTACTTCAGTGAACATTTTAGTAGGAACATCTTTAGTATCTTGATGTTCACTTGATTCATTCAAAGCATTTCCTCGCAAGGAAGACGTAGACATTTCGAACACAAATCATAGTGAAACCTAATGAATAATTTTTGTGAATATCGACTATAATGTAACTGAAAAACTCCTTTCATTTGGTTTTCGATAAGGGCATCCTTCCATTCTCACCTTTGCCTTCTGTTGATTCACTTAGGTTTTATCCATATCGTTTTTATATAAAATAATGACTGAAGAAAGAAATTGCAAAGATGAAACATCAGAAATACTCACTTTGAAGTTTTCCCATCTATCTTTGCTGCTGAAAGCCTGAGTTGCAGCGGAAAAAATGAGAATAGAGACCAAATACTTCATCTGAAATCATGTAAAATATGAATCTGATATAGTACATGGTAGAACGTTTATTGAGGAAATAGAAAAAAATCAACACATACAGATTTCAATAGGAATAACTAGAAGGATTTTTGAAACGGTTTAAATGATCTCAAAACCTTCAACACACAAACAATAACCACAAAATATTTTTATATATATGTAACTTAATACCATTCTCATCTTAGAATTGAATTTTTTTACCAATACACTCAGGTATGACTATAATCAACTCCGGTGAAAAAAGTTACGTATCTATATATATACGTTCATCTCAAGTTATAAGTATTTAGATAAAAAATATTAGTATTCATGTCGATTGGTATCTTTATATAATATGACGTGTGCTTAGAAATTATATACAGACATTCAATTTTGATTATGTTCAAGTTGGTTTCTATTGTGTAGATAAAATGAGAAAAATTTCTGCAGTTATTAGTTTTGCCAAAGGAGGGCAGTCCAATCAAGATGTCTTCAATAGTTAGCTATATTTGCTGCAAGTTATTGGTTGGTTACAATACGGAATTCAGTGCTAAACATTCAATCTATCCGCCTGAAATTCTTTTGAATTTTTTCGCAAACAATGGAGCTGAATCTGGCGAATACGGTGGATGTGGCGATTCGAAATTCATAAGTGATCGTTTCTTTGCAATTCCAGACTTCAAATGCTCCAAAAACGCTATATAATGGTATTTTCCCTTTCAAGATAGTCGATGAATGTTATATCACGCACATCCCAAAATACCGAGGCCGTAACCTTTTCAGCTGATTTTTGTGCTTTCGGGTGCTTTGGACGAGGTTCACCAGTTGCTCTCCAGTCAGATAACGATCGTTCTAATTCCGGAGTGATGGCCAAACAGTGCTCAGAATCATCAAGACGTTCTTGTTTTTGGTCAACAGTGATCTCCCGCAGCACTCACTTTGAACAAAACTTCCTCATAGTCAAATGCTCATGCAATATGAAGCCGACACATTCCTTTGATATCTTTACAATGTCAGATACGATTTTGTGGATTTTTTTACTGCCTCATTAAGACGTCAACTGCGTTCTGCATCATCAGTATCAGTACGACACGTTTAAAGTCAGCCCAACGTTCAATTGTTGTTTCTAATGGAGCGGAGTCCTTTCAAAACTTTTCAAGCCATTGCTTCGCTTGAACGGTATTTCTTCCTATCAAGAAGCAGTGTAAAATTCAAACAGGAAATTTTTTTTGGTCCATTGTTTCGAAAATAACAAAAGTAGTGTCACTCTCAGAACAATAACTCACAAACTCATGAGTAGAATAACATGAAATTTCAACAGCTTTCTTTTGAAGGTCAGTACTACATCTTGATCACTGTCATTTCTGTCTCTCCCTCTCTAAATTAATGGACGTTGCTTTCCACTCGGGCGCATTTGTCCAGGGTCCTCCTATCAAAATGACATCGATTTGACAGAAGCTTGCTCGAAGCGGTACTGCCACCACTTTTTTGTCGAACTGATTTTTTTTTGATAAAAACAATATAACTTTTTATTGTCGTCTCCTGTTCAGGAGACCTTTGAGTTTTTGAATTCACATACATGGCCCCCTTTATGTGGTTATCCGAACCACCCCGGCCTGGATACCGGCGTGAATAAAGGGGGCCCTCACTAAACATTTTTGATTGAAGTTTCACATAAACTTTTATATAGCACGTCCGTCCACTACCACAGCCACCACGAAACAATCACTGTCATTTCATTCAGGATTATCTAAAGTTCATGTTGCTCTTTATAAATTTGAATTTTTTCAATAACCCCACGATGGTGAGTACTTTTTTTATGATCACATGGGTCGAACATTCTCTATAACCAATTAATGCAACTCCAAGATTTGAATTTTTTATTGCTTCAAGTGGATATCATGCAAGTCATAACAAAATATTGAAATATAACATTCATCACTTCAAGATTGGATAAACAGCCGCTGTTGCAATTCCACATTGATTGTCCTTATTTCTGGACATCTTAAGGTACCCGTCCATTCCCCAGCTATCGCCCCAGGAGTTCTTGACCAACCAGTAGTCTGTACCATTTTCTGAACCATATCCAACGACTAATACTGCGTGGTTAAGATCTGCAAACTCCTTTTTGCATGTATTCTCATAAAATATACCTGCAAATGAAAAAATGGTTTGAATCATTCAAACTCAAGAAGACATTGAGTGATTCACTGATATTTGAATATAAAAAAATAATTCCTCGTACCAGTTGTTCGTAAAATAGTAGGTGGAATGTAGGTGTGGCAGAAATCAAGTCAGTGTAATTCGTACCCTTGTTTCTGAAATTTTCAAAAAAACAAGCGGAAAGCATCCCTTTGAGTACCCTACTTTGTAGTTTCGAAACCAGAGCCTTCAAAATGTCTGATCTCAGACCCTTCTATTGGAAACGATACCCAGTTACTATTTTTCAAAGTGGCCCATGTTGAAGTATCCATACCTGACTGAACCAAATCCACTCCCTACACTCCAATCTGAAATTCATAATGAAAATCGAAAATTATAACTTCCTCCCATTCCTGAACGTCCTCATCATAAAATCCAACAATTGCTTTACATGCTATATCCATACCAGTACCAAACGGTACCTCAGTGCTGAGGCTCATGATCTTTCTGTCAAAGTGAGTTCCATTTTCAATGCTCCCAAACAGATCTATCGATCGGTATACATCTATATGTATGATCTAACCAGTCCCAAGCATCGTCAATAGTGATTCCCAGTAAATTGACAGCTTTGCCTACAGAATTTTTTTTGTGTCATAGTCATCGACTATATTGGCTATATTGTGCCACCTACAGAACATCATGGATAGTCCGTCAGCCATATATAACGTTGCAGAATCATCCCAACTTCAACTAGATAAATTCTCTTGAGAAAAGTTATTATTAGTCGAGAAAATTATTTTTTGTGTTTTTTCGTTATTGACTTTGAGAATGTTTGAGTTGAACCACGATTCAGCTTATCTTTCTGCAAGTATAACTGCAAACAGATTTTGACAGTTGTGGTCACAGCACAAGATCGATGTGTTATTAGCATGAATGTGAACATGTGTAAGGTAATAGTTCATAGAAGAGATCGTTTATATAAACTGTAAATGGAGGAGCCTCCAGGACGGACCCTTGAAGAATTTCGAACTCAATCTGATGTAGATAAGATATTCTTTCATTCATATATATTTGAATATGAACATCTGTGAGTTAATAGTTCATAGAAGGGGTCGTTTATATAAACTATGAATGGAAGAGCCCCCAGAACGGACCCTTGAGGAATTCCAGACTCTTTCTGATGTAGATCAAATATCCTACTATTCATATCTATTCACATGCTAGACTCAACGAACTAGACGAAAAACCTTGATTGGATGTTTCATTGGGAATATGAAGCCTATTTTACAGAAAAATCAGTTGCAGAAATGTTACATCATGCAGGAGCACATTAAAAAAACTAAGTGTTTGACCTCTGCCATCTCTTTCAATTTCAGAAGTGTGTGTGAGGTTGAAACGAGTAGAAGATATTCACTTCAGAGACACAAGACGAAAAAATGATAATCATTATTTGCCATTCCGTAAATAAAGTATATCAGAAAATGAATGGTACCTAAATAGAACTGGATGAAAATCCATATTGAAACTCATTATTACAGTTTATTGTATAAAAGTGTATGAAAAATAGTGAGTTTTGAATGATACTACTACTACTACTAGTCAATGTAATATCAATTGGATACGTTTTTAATGTTTTATTTCTTAATTCAATGATATTAAACTGATAATACATGATAAAAATAAAATTGCTAGTCTGGATGCAGTTTCATTTTTTAGTGATATGTATATAGATGCTTGAATTAGATCCATCAATAAAGTTTGAACAATATTTGAGTATTTCTGAAAATTACTTTAAGGGAATGTTAAATGATGAAGATTATTAACAAACTTCAGTTACTCCAAGGGGAGCAAAGGTTATTCAAATATTGGCATATTATGTTACGGACAACCTATTGTAGTTGCTCTTACAAGATACACTCTTCAATTTTTTTGTAAGAAAATAATTAGGTATGTAGTGTATTTACCTAACCTGTGGATGGGATATTTGAAATACTAAAAACATATGTCATTTCGGCATACAGTTAACTATCGATGTCGTATAAGGGAAATACTGGTTTTCCTTCCTTAATACGGAAACCTGTCTGTTTCTCAGTTCTTGGTCGTATCAGAAACAGTCTTATTCCTCCATATTTCTGATTCATTCTTCCATAGATATAATCTTATCACTTGATATCAGTTTTTCATTATAAATTCCTACCGAGATCCTTTTCTTGATTAGATCTCATTCAGCACCTCTACAATGGATGCCAACATCAATTCAAATATTAATCTATTCTATTATATTTTCACAAATAATCCACTCCAAATTTCTTGTTCATCATTCATTAGTGGATAGCAGGTTTCACAGATTTGACTGTGACAATAGCTTCAAATTCAGTTGGTTTATCATTCTCAAAACTGAAAGAATAAACTGACATCAGTTTGCTGTCTATTCGTCCACGTCATAACTGTAATTGTTGATATATTGGTCAAACATTGAGGTTACTTGAAGACTGCATTTGAACTCATGAGAGTGATAGTAGATTACACCCTGAGAGATATGCTCTCAATCACTATGTCTTCCATGAAGAAGACTCAATGAAATATATTTCTATATATTTCTGGGAGTGGCTTTCATTTCTCATTGAGATATACCGAATATTGATGAAAATTTTGAGTTATTCCTTCAATTTTTTTGTCTAATAAAAATGGATTATTTCCTTCGGGCAGTTGGTGATAGTGTTAACTCACTTCAATTCGAGTTTCGTTTAGAACTCATTTGTTGTCACATTTTCTCTTAGATATTCCATGATCAAACATCAATTTCATCAATGAAGAATTTACTGAATTACATGTTCAATTCATATAGAGAGTAGGGAGGTCGCTTTTATGAAAAGTTGAAACAAACTCTTACTTTTGAGATACCTGAGGGAATGTTTCTTCACAACTAGCGTAACGCTAGTTGTACACACACACACACCGATTTTGGACGGCCAGTATAAAATCGGCCGATATTTTATTGGTAGCGGGTGCTTGCACACTCACCGGATTTTTATCGGTCGAACAATCAGTTGCTTTGTTGTCGTAATTAGCACGCACTACCAGAACGAAGTTAATGCGTAGTAACTACAATTTCACTGAGCATTCGAGACTGGAATGGTCGTTAAAAAACCGGCGAGTATGCAAGAGTGTATTCAGTCATGTACGCCACTACTTCCCGGTACTGCCGGTGATACAGTGGCAGTGGACGCCTGCTCACCGGTATTTTACCGGCGACGATCACCGGTAAGCATGTGTGCAAGGTCCCGTTCCCACATGTGGTTTACTATTGGAATTTGGACGACCGGTACAAAGTCGGCCGTCCAAAATCGGTGTGTGTGCAACTAGCGTAACCGGGAAAACCAATCGGCCTCGTTAAAAAGCTGAGTTTATTTGGTCGAGTGTAAATAGATGTGAGCCACAATCAGTCCTTGCGGGTTGCGGTGAAGAATAGACCCACTCACTTTTGACCTAACCTAACTTGAATACAATATGGTTATAAATCACATATTTTGTATACTTATTGAATGTTTGCAAGTTTTTGACGTTGTGTATTCATTATTTTCAATTACATATTATGTGCATCATTAATAATTTCAATCCGCATCGAATGTAACTGAATATTCATTTTGCTGTTAGGCAGGAGAAAGTTGTTAAACGTCATGCATATAAAAGATCTATTAATTTCGAAAATATTAATTTTCCTGTGGTAACTGTTGTAATTAGGATGCCCTATTAGAAAATCAGAGAAAATTACTACCTGACTCATAGGTCTGCAAGTTGTCACTTGCAAAAATCAGAACTGAAACAGGTCCTATTGTGGCCACAGCTGTTTTCAGAGCGGATTCGTCATTTTCTTCAACTGCTACGTATGAATCCAATTGAACAGCCACAAGCGATTTGTTGAATCTGCAAATTCCCTCTGAAGCTTTGTAACGGTAGTCTTTTGCCAACATCATACCACCAGCCTGGATGAGGTATTCTAAAGCTTTGTTATTGTACCCACCATAACAACCATGACAATCTTCTTCAGCGCAGTCCACCAATTGCTGTACACTCAGAAAATTCAGCCGTCCAGTTTTTATTGCGAGCTGACTCTCTACAGCACCTGTCTATGAAAAAAATATTAATGAATTCATGTTGTACGTCTATATTAGAGTGAATATTGAGACTCTCCCTCTTTCACCTCTTTGATGACAATTTTAACGGGAAACAAAATATACTCCTTCGGTTCATCATAAGGAGGGGTTCTCAATTGTAAAGTGAGGCTGTAGAGAGATGAGTGAAAAAATTTCGACATCAAAAGTTGATATTCATCAAGAAGTAATGTGTAATACGGTAGAAAATTGGTTTGTACCTATCACAAGTAGAAACTTACAGCACTGAAAGCCCAACAGGCTCCACAGCTAAGTTGATCGATAACTTTTGTAACAACTCCTTTCTTTTTCCAGTTCATTTCAGCGGGTAGGTCGCCATCAAAATCAATTTCAACCTTCTTCGTGACAAATTTTGGCATAGGATATTTCGATATTGTCATCTTCTCCATGAATTCCTCAGGTGTCAGGTCAGTGAATTTGTTGATACCCATTCTGTAGGAAGTCTGACCATTTTCAAATTTTTTATTGTGTTCTTGGATCTTCAACATGTTCGATAGGAAAATATTATAACGCTGCTTATCTTCCACTGTGTTTCGATAAGACTTCGAAAAAGTGGTCTAGAAAAAAGTACATTCCTGTAATTTTTTTTTGAAAAAGTAGTACTATCTTATAATTGAAATGAAATGAAAAATATGGTAGTCATTGAAATTTGCGATACTCACTTTGAAGTTCTCCCAAGAAACTGCTTCACTACGAGCTTCAATAACAGCTACAACAGCAAAGATACAGATGATCACCTTCATCTGGAATGATACATTTCATTATATGAAATCCAATATCACATTCAAATCAACCGATGAACACCAGTTACTCAAAAATGTTTGATATTCATAAAGTATATTTCAAAGAACATTTTTGAAGTGATAACTTCTTATGGAAGGGTGAACCGCTTCGTTACCTAACGCGTAATGTCAGTTTGTCTGGCTTCCCTTCCTCTCACGCATACGTCAGCGGAGGGCAGGCTCCTCCTCTCTCATCTCTCTCTCTATCCATATATCTCTCTCTCCATATATATAGTCTACATACATACATACATACACATATACATGAATACAAAACTAATTTATCAACTAGAAACACCTGAAAAGAGTAAACAAAGAACAAAATAAAGACAACGTTCAGGAGAGTTAAGCAAAATTAGGTGAAACATAATTCAGCCGTAATACAGTAGTAGTATTGAGCTAACATGGTTGAGTAACTTTCAATTTGGGCTCATGTATTTCAACATGGTTCTTAACTTGACCAATAGGTTCATAATAAATGTCGAGATTTTCACAGAGTTGATTATAAAGTTTGCTCATTGCACCAACTGGTGATTTGAGTAATATGTTTGTTCTAGTTTGGGACAGTCAATCAGATCATTCACTAGTTTATAAATGAAAATTATAGAGCAGTAGGTTCTTCGGTTTTGAAGGGATAATAGATTGAATTTATTGAGTAGTATTCTATTGTCGATGCCTTGTTCAGAGTAAACTCCTTCTAGCTTGTAAGTAATATATTTCATGAAGCCTCTTTGTATAGACTCGATTTTGTTTATGTGAACATTGTATATGGGTGACCATATAAGAGATGCATATTCCAGTCGAGATGTGACGTATGTATTCAAAAGAGGTAAAAAACTGTCTCTGCTATGAAAGTTCTTACAATTACAATAGATGAGCCCTAGCATCCGTTTGGCTGAGCATGTTATTATGTCGTAGTGAATGGAGAAACTCAGTTTAGGGTCAAATGTGACACCAAGATCCTTTTGATGAGTGCTTATTTGAAGAGGTGTATTATTTATGCCGAAATCATGAGAAATAACATTATGTTTAAGGGTGTATTTAAATTTGTTTGTATTATGGGGAAGATTATTTTCGGTACACCAAAGGTACAAAAAGTCAAGGTCTTTTTGTAAGATTAAGCAGTCCTCCTGTGATGTAATGGGCCGAAAGACTTTCAAATTATCTGCAAAGAGTAAGAAATTACTAGAGAAATTATTTCCTATGTCGGTAATGAAGAGTGAGAATAAAAGAGGTGCTAAATTGTTTCCTTGAGGGGCACCACTGTTTGCAAAAAATTGGAACGACTTGTGACCCCTATAATCTACGAATAGGATACGTTCAGTTGAGTATGAGCAAAAAAGGTTCAAGAGTTGAGAGTCGAATCCATATTGGTGAAGTTTATTGATTAGAATGTTATGATCCAACTTGTCAAACGCCTTCGAGAAATCTGTGTAGACAGTATCTACTTGTAGGTTAATATTAAGTGCATTACTTACTGATTGTGTGAAGCACATTAAGATAGTTAATGTTGATCTTTTGCTAAAGAAACCGTGTTGATTGTTTGAAATTAAATTCTTAACATCAGAAAAGATTCTGTTGTGAGTTGAATAACAAGGTTATAGGTCGGTAATTTTGGATATTGTTTATGGCACCAGCTTTGAAAATTGGACAAATTTTCGATATTTTTCATTTGTGAGGTTAGGTTAGGTTAGGTTAGGTTAGGTTAGAAGCATCCTGTACTCAGTGCTAGATTGAAGATTGACTGTTATAGTATGGCTAGCAGATGTGCACAATCTTCAACGAAAAAGCTAGTTATGTTATCATCCCCACTTGTGGGTTTTGGTTTTAGTTTGTTGAGGGAATTGCAGACTTCAATTAGTGAAAAATGTTTTGAAGAAATGATAGGATTATTTGGGGTAACATTCGTGTATTTATATGATTGTAGAAGTGGAGAATATGCACTTTCAAAAAATTGTGCGAATGCATTTTGAAGGTACTGTTTTATTCAACATTGTCCCAGAATAGAATACTAGGAATTCTTGATGTAACTTTCTTACTTTGAATATACGACCAGTGATTGGTAAGATCTTCTTTGATTGCCTTTTCAGATTTATTTTCATATTCTCTGTATGCTGAATTGATTTTTGTTGTGATGGATCGACGAAGAGATCAGAATTCTTCTTTGAGAATACTTGAGTCTGTAGTTTTCAGTTTTCTAGGAATTTTATTTTTTTTAATATCGTTGATTATTTCATCATTGAACCAGGGATGATACTTTCTAATAAAGTTGTGACTAACCGTAACACACTGACTAATAATTGGGGTTAGTAATGCTAAAATTAGTTCCAGATAGTAAACCAGTTTACAACCCTCCGAAACGTTATCTACAAATTATGACTACATGTAGATGGGGTGGGTACATTTTGATTTGAGCATATGGAACATCGCGCTGTATCGTTTCGAATATTATTCAAAACAGTCAAAATAATAATCACGATCTCAATTGCTATAAAGCACTAGAAAGAATGTGACCCATGAGAACTTCAAGTGTACTTCATGTATCAAATATATGAATTTTCACATTATTCTCACCTTGAATTTGAAGTTTTCTTCAACAATGCACTGACGTAAGACTATAATCAATTCCATTGAAATGTCTCCCAATATATACCTCTACAAAGATACGATGTTTTTGATAATAAAAGAACATGATAAGATGATTGAGATTTCATATTGATCGGTATTTCTGTACCAGATGAAGTGTGCCTATACAGGGCTTTTCATGATGAGCTCATTTGCCTCATACAGGGTCTTCAAAAAATGCAGATACTTTGATCTCATGAAAATATGAGTGGCACTCAATTTTTTCAAATGGAACACCCTGTATATTTCAACATTTTTGAGCTCTACATCCAATTTTAGATTAACTTTGTTCCGATAATACTATTTCTATTTTGAACCGTTTTCGAGATAAACTGTTGCAAACGAAAATAGACATGGTTTCCTTGTTCATCACTCATTTTTGTAAAACAGATTTCGTTTGATGTTTCTCAATTAGGCACAGATAATACAATGAAAATACTCTGTACTCGCTCTGTAATAATATTCCATGCCTCAATTTGGCTCGCTTGGTAAACGCCTCAGATTCAGTCGGTTGCGCTGTAGTTCGGCCGCGCATACAATTCGAGGTGGAGAATCTTGACCCAAATATGGCGGAGAGTGAACCTACTGGTGTTTACTTTCATACTGTGTATAAGTGCACCCTCCTCCTCCCCCACTCCAACTCCAATAACAAAGGCACTTCCTGCGGCGGGCGCCAAGAGCTCCGCCTTGAATAAACGCAAGGAACCGGCTGACTCTGTAAGAAAGCTCCCTCACTTGTGCACCTCCACGCAGGGAACCCCAAGAAGGTTGAAGAAGCCGCGCAATGACAGTGATGTCGCTGCACCTTCCAAAACCTTCGCGGAGGCCACCGTGAGATACCTCAAGGTTGCCAAAGAGAGTGTGTGTTCGGCGGGTCTTGGCCTACACCTGCCGATATAAAAGAGATACCTCCTAGTGACCTGTCCACCTTCCTGGAAAGGACAGGATGGACGATGACCTTGGAGGACAATTCCTCGGAAGGATGTACAATGGGTCACATGTAGCCTAAGTGCTGTGGGTCTTTACTCACCCTACCTACTCTACAGTTACAGAGATATATTGTAGTAGTGTTATAGAATATTTCTTTCTGAAGCAGATGCGTTTTTCAAAAAAAACTGTTTTTCCGTTAATCAGCTGTCGCCCCTATTCGAACGACAACTCTCAGAAGTTGAGAAACTTGTGCGAGTGCGAGTTCATATAGTTGATTGAAGCCGATTCCGCAACCTCCCCCACCACTTTCAGTCTTGAAACGAGCTTCACTTACGTCACACAACGTAGACAAGGTGACTTTGAGGTAGTTTTTTGAGTTTGATTTTGATTAACGCCTCTTATTTTCGACAAGGCGACTTTGACTTCGAAAGAACTCGCCTCTACTGAAGTTTTGAACCTACGCCACACGATATAGCCAAGGTGACTTTGAGGGAGAGTTTCGTGTTTGACCTTAATTCACACTCCATGTCACGCGGCTATCTTGTTTTGAGTATTCGACCTTGAACGATCTCCAACTGCGTGGGCAAGGTTGAAAAAATTTTCCGTTTTTCCGTTAACCTGCTGTCGCCCCCTGCCTACGAACGACAACTCTCAAAAGTCGAAACTTGTGGTAGCTAACTAACGAGGTCTTACCTTTCAACGTGTGATTCCTAACACGGTTTCAGGATAGACACTTGAAATTGGTTTTCGATTACTTTTTCTCTGGCAATGTGAAACACTTTGAGTTTAGGAAATTATGGATTTAATAATTTTCATATCATAAAACATATAAGACATTCCTGGAATAGATAAAAACATTCCTTTGCCTCCTACAGAACAGGATAAGAAGCTCTGGTTGCAATTCCACATTGATTGTCGGCATTTCTAGACATCCTTAGGTACCCGTCCATTCCGTACTCAGCACTACCTCAAGGTTGCCAAAGAGAGTGTGTGTTCGGCGAGTCTTGGCCTACACCTGCAAATATGAAGAAGATGTCTCCTAGTGACCTGTCCACCTTCCTGGAAAGGACAGGATGGACGATGACCTTGGAGGACAATTCCTTGGAAGGATGTACAATGGGTCACATGTGGCCTAAGTGCTGTGGGTCTATACTCACCCTACCTACTCTACAGTTACAGAGATATATTGTAGTAGTGTTATAGAATATTTTTTTCTGAAGCAGATGCGTTTTTCAAAAAAAAACTGTTTTTCCGTTAATCAGCTGTCGCCCCTATTCGAACGACAACTCTCAGAAGTTGAGAAACTTGTGCGAGCTAAGGACTAACGAGGTCTTACCTTTCAACGTGTGATTCCTAACACGGTTTCAGGATAGACACTTGAAATTGGTTTTCGATTACTTTTTCTCAGGCAATGTGAAACACTTTGAGTTAAGGAAATTATGTATTTAATAATTTTCATATCATAGAACATATAAGACATTCCTGGAATAGATAAAAATATTCCTTTGCCTCCTACAGAACAGGATAAGAAGCTCTGGTTGCAATTCCACATTGGTTATCGGCATTTCTGGACATCCATAGATACCCGTCCTTTCCCCAGTTATCACCCCAGGAGTTCTTCACAATCCAGTAGTCTTTACCATCTTGTGAACCATATCCAGTGACAAGTACTGCATGAGTTAGATCACCTTCGGTGTTTTTACACTGTGGGTCATTTAGAATTCCTGCAGGTACAAAATTCATTTGAGTAAAAATTTCTCATGGATCTTCTGATTCATTTCAACTCTCAGCAATGAATAAATATGTTTATAATGATTATTTCTTTCGAAGCGATAAAATTATGAACAAATTGAAGGCTGGGCTGCCAAAACAGTTTCTCAGACCCTCTCTCGATGAAAAATTTTCTCAGATAATTTTTCATACGCACACCTTTTTATTTTCGAGCAATACCAAGCGAACAACCAGCACTAGAAGAATCTATTGAAAATGTGTAATGAAAATTTCTATGTATTCAACTACTTTTATTTGTAACTTTCGTTACTGCAGTTTCGTCTTATGAGGACTTTTACAAACTCAAACATTGAACTGAAAATGAATGATAATATTTCCCTCTATATAACCCCACTGTCAGTACAGTCGAATTAAGCGATTTCGTTCACACTTAAAGGCATTCTCAAAGGCCCAAAAACCAATACGTAGAAATGAACCGGCTGCGAACTAGTCCACGTGGACTGTAGAATTGGCGGTTGGTATTAGATGATTTCAATTGACCGAGTTGACCCCGCTAATTTGGGGGAGCATGGGTCCTCGTGGCAGTGGTTTCGATAGATAGAGGGAAGATGCTCCATTGAAAGGCCTTCGGCCAGGACAATATCGAGCGATGGCACTATTCATGACCGAGTTGTATGATTGTCTGAAGAGTCATAAAATTTAATTTGAAGTCATGTTGCGGTGGCGAATAGAAATCGGGGAATGCGGGGATGGTTATTTCCGTCGTGTCATCAATGTTCAGTTCAGGAACTGATCGCGATATTAATGCAGTTATAATTGCCTGAAATATTTGTTGTCTGTTCAAAATGTGGCATCTTTGGACAAGTACTAATAGTAACAACGAGTGTGATAATAACGCAGACTTTTTCCAGTGTAGTAATTCCAATAGAGACGGTGAACAATGCGAAAAAGAGATACCAGTGAATAAGATTCCGATGCATTTGAATATTGAAACACAGAGAGTATGTTTCAATGTATATAAGAATCTACATCTCCAGCTTGGTTTCGAAGGAAATAAACTATTACAAGCAACATCAGATTTGACCGAAATTCCTTTCTCAACTGTACGTAAAATAGTCAAAAACAAACTTTATGAAATCAAGACTCGATGTGATACGGGATTACCAAAACCTTCAGATGTTCATCTAAAACTATTGAAAAAAACAATATTCGACTGTAACAAAAGCAATGAGATTTCTACAATTGAAATTATAATAATAGAGGCCCACGATGCAAAATGGGGATTTACCCGAGCGTCATAGAGACATATTAGGTTGCATAGCTTAGATGATGAGAAGAAGAAAATGTTATATGATATATACCTTCTCATCGGTGGGGGAAGCGGCTATAGATTTCTAAATATGTAAAAAAATACTGTTGCATGGACATATTCGAGCGCGTCAGATATTGATAGCATCAATGTCCTACGTATTTTTGATAATGTTGGTATGGTAATCTGATCTTTTGCATGATGCGGATGGTTGTACGTAAAGGTTGAAAGTGAAAAGAAAAAATTTAATCGAGCGCGTCAGATTTTCTAAGGGGGTGTTAAGTTCAACAAAAAAAGCTCTCATTCAATAATCTGACGATTTCGATCTGACGCAAACTCGCGGCCATTATTATAATGTGCAAAAAAAATTTCAGATTATATATTTTTCGTTATCCTTGAATTTTTTCCTCCAAAATAAAAAAAAAATTAGCTACGCTCGAGAATGTCGAAATTATGTTATTTTTTACAAATTAACTACCCTCCCTTTTCTTTACGTCACTCTCAAATTGTCAGTTTACTGGAATATACACTTTTCAGCTTGTAATTAACTCTCCCTACCTTAATCTGACGCGCTCGAGAATTTCTGATGATCAATTTTTTTTACTAATCTGATCCTTTATCCTTCACGGGGGGCTCATATTTGGTGGAGGTACCTAACCGGGTACAAAGTATCCCCCTGTATATTATAACGTGAGCTGCTGTGACAAAACTATTCAGAGTTGGATAAAGAAACGAGGATTTAGATTTGAAATGATAAACAAACGTCAAGCAGTTATGGAAAGCAGAAAAATAGTGGAATTGCGTAACAAATACTCAGAACAAATAATTAAATATAGACAAGAACAACGGCAAATTTTCTATTTGGACGAAACTTGGTATGACACTCACGACACAGTTACGAAAGGGTGGACTGATGGTTCGAGAATGTGTACGCCTAACATGCCTGCAAACAAAGGATCGCGACTAATCATTGTGCATTGCGGAGGAAGTAAAGGATGGGTTCCGAATTCTTTGAAATTATGTGGAAAAAACTTGAGCACTGCAATGTTGATTATCATATGAAAATGGGAGCTAATATTTTCGAAGGAAGGTTTGAAAACACATTGATCTCAAATTTGGATGCGGATAGTGTGATAGTTCTTTTCAGCGATTCCTATCATTCGCGATAGCTTATCAAAGTACCGAATGAAAATTCGAGGAAAGATGAAAATATAGTTTTTTAATGGATAACAATTTATATGTTGAAGATTACTATACCAAACACCAACTTCTTGAAGTTTTACAGACAAAAACATTTGAAAAAGTGTATGCCCTTGAGAGTATTGCTGAAAAGCATGGAAAACGATAGTTTTTCGAAGTAGATAAAGGCATTTTGTCAACAGCGTTCATGATGAATTTGGTCAATCCTTGAAAATTCATGACGTCGTTGTTAGGTAACAATTCGTTCTGAGATTTTTACTGAACATTTCACAAGACTTCAACACTTCACTATACAATAGTTTCTTGTGAATAAAAATCTCATATACGTATATTTTTTATAAATTTGTGAAAGCTGAAGGAAGCTACGTCATCAGCAAGTAACAGGTTGTTTTATCATTGAAAAATTAAACTATGTGAATTTCAATTATCTGGCGTGCGCTGTCAAAAAGTGTCGCTAATTTTCAATCATCTGATGACAAATCTCAAATTGCAGATTTTTCCAAACCGAACATTTCTCAGGTCTTGATACCTCAAAAATGTATCCTACCTCTAGCATATAACTGAAATGCTACCGTTACTTCAACTGCTACTGAAACGGGTCCTTCGAGTGCTACGGCCTTTTGAAGGTCGATCTCATCATTTTTCTTAATAGCTTTGTATGACTTTATTCGAACAGCAGCTTTTGAATTATTGAATCTGCACGTGGTATTTCTTTCTTCGTATGGATAATCATCTTCTAACATAATGCCATCGGCCTCGATATATTCCAGAGCTATATCCATCCAACCACCGCCACATCCAGAGTTATTCTTCACACAGTCCACCAATTGTTGTTCGCTAAGGGAAATCAACTTTCCAGTTTTTATAAAGTTGTGACTCTCCACTGATCCCGTCTGAAATAATGATATTAGTTAGTAGAGAAATTATCATATTGAACATACACAACGATTCGTTTACTGAGTTTTTAAACGTTCTCAACTTTAATAACTACCACTTCAATAACTCACTGTACTAAAGGCCCAGCAAGATCCACAGGAACCTTGACTTTTGACTTCTGTAACTGCTCCTCGTTTGGTCCAATCAACTTCAGCAGGCAGATCTCCATCGAAATTGAATTTTGCTTGTTCGCTGAGAAACTTTGGCTTTGTTTTCCTTAAGGGCCTGAATCTTTCCATAAATTCTTCAGGAGTTAGATCAGCAAATTTGTTGACTCCCATTTCATAGGTTGACAAACCGCGACTGAAATTTTGGTTGTGTTCTTCGATCCTCAACAAATTCGACAGAAAAATATTGAAACGCCTTTTTTCTTCTACCACGTTTTGGTAGGACTTGGAGAAATTGATCTGGAAAAAATAGAATTTTTCTCACTTAAAATGGAATCTCATTTTCGTAGTATTTGGGAAATCTGAATGAAAAAAATGATACTCACTTTGAAATTCTGCCATTTCTCCTTATCACCAAGAGCTTCTGTTGCGGCGAGAGCAAAAAAGAATATAATGAAGAACTTCATCTGAAATATCATTGAGAGAGTAAGTTTTGAATATACACAAATGTTTGTTTGAAGATAGTTGNGGCCCTATCCCCCGAAGCCCCGATACATTCGGGAGGGCGCGCCAGCATTATCAACCAATGACCACTCCCCACACCGTGGGGTAAGTGATCATTGGGGCCGAGAATCATGTGCCCTGAGCAAGCGCAGTGAGCCGAGAATGACAGCCTTCTGCATCTATGCGGCTAAGAGTTTTGCCTTATTGCGGCAAGCCGGTATGATTTTAAGATTCGAGAGTAGAGAGGACATTATTCCACCAAGGACTCCAATAATCAGCACAACCATTTCGACAGAGTGATCTGGATAGAGTCTGCGGGGTTCGAAGGGAAATTCTACATATTTTATCCGTTTTTCCTCCTCTTTTCTGGCGATATTCTTCCGGCCAGGAGCTGAAAACTCCACGATAAATATCGTTTTGGTCTGGTGGTCGAGAAGGAATACATCAGGCTTATTAGCTTGTATGAGCCTGAGGGTGGGAAACGAATTGTTCCAATAAATCCGGTACTTCTCGTTCCCCACAACGGATTCAATATCCCTTGGAGCGAAGGCCACACCGGTGTCTCGTCAATACCGTAAGAGTGCCGTAGATGGTAATATAGCACTCTCAGGGTAATATAGCACTCGCCAGGGAGTCTTGTTCTGTGTGTTTCAAGAGGTAAGTGCACGAAACGCAAGAGAAGTGTCAGAGACCCTTACAAAAGGGAAAAAAAAGAAGAAGCATCCACAGGAAGTGCCAATGAAAAGAATAGGGCAATTTACTGGGAAAATTTAAAATTTTTGGATTAAGTGGAAGGTGAACGGAAGGATTTCACGAACGTTTTACCTTCACCAAAAAAACAACAGCCAACTTTGACTGCGGAAGGCGATTTTTCTGATCCAGAAGTGATTAACGAAAGTGCTCGAAATCAAAATGGTTTTTCCGATTTTAATAAAATAAACTCATTTCTTTCTCAAATTTCGCGTGTTTCCAGAAAATATGGTCCTCCTCTTCATCATTTTTCATTTGTTCAAGAATAATCATTGCAATCAGCTTTTCTCTTCTTTGGATTCGTTTCAAAATGACACACCGATACACTATCTGTTGTCCGTCAGTACGTCAACTAAACAGAGAAACATGCTTCGCTTAGGAAAACATTGAAAATCCGCGTGATAAGTTTCTCGCCCCTGCCGACGCGATTAGGACGAACCTGGTTCCTGCTGCGCGAAAAACACGTCGCTAGAAAAACATACCTTTACTCTGCCCATAAAAGTTCCACGAGTGACTAGGGAAAGAAGGTCAATCACGGCAGAGCCCCGCATTACCGTGACTAACAAACAATACTACCAGAGTAAAATAGAAAACGCGGAAAATATTCATAAAGCAGCGTAGGGAATTGTATCTCATTCAACTCATAAGTCAAATAGCAAGTAAAAAAATATAATAATAAAAGACAATAACCGTATGGTAGAATCACCAAATTTGATTGTCAATATGTTCAATCATTATTTCAGAGACATTGCTGTAGATATAATAAATAAGAAAAAACAATTTAGGGTATGAGCTCTTCTTGAGGAATATTGTATCGCCTACGAACTCATTATACCTTAGTTCCTATACGGAGACTGAACTATATAGCCTTTTACANTAGTACCTAAGATTTTATCACTGACGGCTCCTACACAATGTATATTTGTCAACAGAAAAAAAAAGGCAATGCTACGACGAGAGGAAGCCTGGTATATCGAAGGTTCCGTAGAGACAGCTGATAGGCTCAGTGTCATTCATCCTCTCGGCACGAATACACACACCTTAGGATTAAGTCATCATTGGGATGCCATTCAGGAAATGACAGAACCATAAGGGATTCTGTCATTCCTGTATCCAGCGGGGCTACGTGGAAGCAAGCATCCGATGGCCAAAGCCAATGCACTCGCCAAAAACAGCATGCACAGTGGTTCCAGGCAGTGAAAGATGAACAAAGACAGCCAACACGACTGTGCTTACCACTATTCAAGAGTAACCAAAATTCCTAGTTTCAGGGGAATTTTTTTTCTATAAACAGAAGGGGGATACATTGCAGTTTTTTGGTGTAATGGATTCATTCTCAGTTTTATTTTATCATTCAATCAAATGTTTCATTCAACACTACTCCAAAACCATAGATATCAATGATTTCCTATAATATTAGAAGAAAATAAATAATTCAAACACACATTTATCTTACCATGAAAATGATGTTATATTCAATCCACCACTGAATTCAGTTTGATATTTCTATTGAATATATTTCCTTTTATATACCTATCGTCAGGAGCTTATGTTTGAAGATCTGTCTGTAGATTAGGCAGAAAATAAATGTAGTTCCCAAAATGAAAATATTATATTGATAGCGATTGTTTTGTGTGTCTTGATATCAATCTCAATATAATGCGTTTTCACAATTGAATTTATCGGTAAGTACACTGATCGAGTGTCCAATTATTTCGCAATCCACAATCATTTCAATATTGAAACAAGTAATAGGTCTCGAATCAAGAATTAATTCGAATCGTTTTCAATAATAACCGTTTTACTTTCAGCTATGCAGAAATATGAATAACTGAAACTTTTTCCAAGTCACCAGGAATGCAACATCAACCAAGTCCATCTTCTGAATAACTTTTTCCAATAAAAAAAAAATTGTACTTTATTAGACAGTCAAAATTGTTAAAAAATAGTTTCGAGAAAAATGCGGACAAATAAAACTAACCACCTCTCTCAACTTCTGAACAGAAATAGATATTCATTCAAATTGAAATTGAGACAAAAATTCATATAGAGAGGTATCTTTTTCAGTACTTTTTAGTTGAAAAACAAAAGTGTGATGTCACTTGTCGCTAAGAAGGCGCTGTAAATTTTTATAAAAACGTGATTTCTCCTTTGATAGGTCAGTGACATCCAATTTTTTTTAATATTTTTGATAACCGGGTAGACCGATCCTGGATAAATTACTATTACTAATTCTACGTAAGAATCTGCTTACTAATGATGAACACTGTAGTTCATCATTCAAAACTCTCTCCAGTTTATCCCACTGAATATTCAAAATTCACATCATTCACTTCCTGGCAATAATAAAGTTTGTTCGAAAATTAATCTGTCTGTCGCTGTCTTGAATTTATTGGAGTCTCTGGAGACACCCTACATTTTATTCTATGAAAAAAAGACATTGGCAGATCAAGATCTTCAGATGATGTGGTGCTGTAGGTTTTTCTAGATTTTCCTGCAGCTGAAAAAGCAAATGCGCCACTGGACTCAAAGAAGTCGCCCCGGAGCGCCAATTAATTTTTGTTGTTTGATAATTTCATGATTTTTATTACTTTCATCACATTTTTAGTATTTTTCTCAGACGTCAATGCATGAGATATGAACTCGCCCCTGGAATAGTGCATAGTTAAACTTGTTGCGGCTTTATGAACTGGTCAGTGAGAATTTCACAATAAATTTTTCATAGATGACACTTCTCACAAGAAAATTAATTTAATCGGAATTTATGTGACTGCCAGAGATTGTACTTCTTCAGGAGGGCTAGTTTTCATTCCCTTTTGTTCTAACACGTACTCTGTCAGAAACGACCATTAAAAACGATTGTTTTAGATCCCTTCAACGCCTTCATCCTTCATCGAAATCCTAAATGTTTCGAATCAGGGCATTATTGACAGTATGTACACTGAATTATTCCTTTCCTATTAATTATCAATTAGAAACAAAAAAATGTATAATAATAATGACGTTTATTTGACAAGTAACAGGTCGGCCAAACGTTGAAAATATACTCATGAGTATTGATACAAAAATCTAATAACATTGTTATTTTTAACAGATGCGTGATGCATTCATGTCCAACATGAATGCATCACTCATAAGTTTTGATTAAACGAAGTAGATCAGAAAAAAGTATTTTATAAAATATCTTTTTTTGAAAATTCTTGCATATAAGAAATCAACTCACTTTCGGAACAACTGCTTCCATATAAACGTTGAATTATGAAAAAAATCACTTATTTGTATTAAGTTGGTATTCCAAACATTCGATTTCCATATCAACGATAAATTTCATGAGAGAAAAAGAACTGTTAATCGTGACTTCATCCTGCAAGAAAGCACAAATTTCCTCTGAAGGAAAACTTGCTCACAAATATCTGTTGGCTGTATAGGGACTTTATTCTGTTTTATCTCCAAATTTAAATAAAACAAAGTGTATGTGCATCTACCTTTCTAGTCGCACTGTAGTTGAAACATTTCTGGAACACGGAGGAGAAATTATAGTAAACCATCAAATCCTCAAAGCACGAAGACTTATCACACCTTCTACCCGTTTAATCCTTTCCAATGTAAGTCCATCTATCCCCCATAATGTCATCGAAAACAGACCCTAGTATCCCCAATCGCCTTTCTTAGAATTGACATAGCACAACCCGAATTTAGCCATATTTTAAGCTTTCGCAGGCAGGTCTATATACAGGACAACGCATCCTACCCTGAATCAATAATTATATCATTTCAAGACACTCCCTACCGCATTTTTCTGTCTGAAGACCTACTGACTTGCTTCAAGTGCCCAAAAATGGCCACGTAGCGGCTTCCTGTGAAGAAAACGCTACTGGAACTCCTAATAATGTTGCAGAAGGATCTACTGGAAACCAATCCTTATCAAACAACGTCTCTCATCAGGTACCACATATTTCAATTGAAATTCCTTCTCAAAAACGCCCTTTATCAGAAATCGCCAGCCCATCTCCCACTCAAAGTACTGAGCAAAATCCAACAGCTGAGCCTTCTTTTGCTAAACCGAACACTCAGACTACCAAGAAACCTAAGAAATGTGAACAAAACACTCAGCCTATAAACTTCCTCATTGAACCTGCACGAAAACTATTTGAGGAAGAATCGCCACCTTTCCTATTGGATTTCCACCAGATTTCTAGTTTTTTGGAACTTGAAACCAACTCCAACCACTCTGTCTCCGAATACTAAAGCGATCTCTCTCAAGATACTTTCTGAGCATCTCATATTGTCTAGTTCTATAACATTCATATCACAATGGAATATAAATGAGGTATTTCATCAGTTGGAAATGCTCCAACTCCTAATAAATCAAGAACAACCCTCAGTAATATGCCTCCAAGAAACCAATTTCAAAATGAGCCGAACCTGTGAAATGAAAAATTTCAGTTCTTTTCATAAAATAAGGAATAATCCATTCAGGGAAAGTGGGGGAGTCACCATTTATGCCAAGAAAACTGTCGATACTGAAGAAATTCTATTGAGAACTGACTTAGAGGCAATTGCGGAACTCATCAAAACTCCCATCAAAGCATGTGTCTGTAACGTATACATTCCACCTGATACTGAAATTCGCATTGAAGATCTGGAATCGCTCGCTCAACAGTTGCCTAAACCTTACATACTGTTGGGAGATTTCAACGCGCACAATCCAATATGGGGATGTACTTCTACCAACCGATGTGGAGTTGTTCTAGAAAACTTCATCAACTCATCCAATATTATTCTCCTTAACACAGGTGACCCAACACGAATCAACAGTATGTCTGACAATCATTCTGCCATTGACCTGACACTCTGTGACCTAACCTTTTGCTCCTCTTTATCTTGGGAAGTCTCTTCCGACCAATTCAATAGTGACCATCTTCCCATATTCATTAAAAGCAGCACTACTTATGACATTAGTTCTGAATACCAACCAAATTGGCGTCTCAAACGTGCAAATCAAGACGATTGGACACATTATGCAGCCCTTATCGAGGACAAACTTTCTCATATATCTTGCAGAACTGCGCAAAACTCAACTCAATAGTTGAAAGATTTACCAACATCATTATTGAATCAGCAAACTCGGCCATCGGAAGATGTACCATTGTCTCGCATCCCAGTACCATGGTGGAAAGATGAGTGCCAAAAAGCAACAACTAAATGTAAACGAACTTTCAATAAATTGAAAAGACATTTCTCCATCGAAAATAAAATTGAATTCCATAAGCTCAGAGCACGTAAAAAATACATCTTGAAACGAAGTAAACGCGAATCATGGATCCATTACGTGTCTACAATGAACCAAAATACCCCTGTTTCTGAAGTAAGGCAGAAAATCAATAAAATCAAGGGAGCAAAAACTAAACTTGCAGTGACTCAACTAATCAATAATGGAAACATCATCACTACTAACCACGAAATGCCAAACTTACTAGCTGACAGCTTTCAATAGCACTCTAGCAGAACCAATTACTCTGACATATTCTTACAGTCAAGGAAAATTATTGATGATGAGCCACTGACAATTGATGATGACAATGGCAATCCCTTAAATGCTGACATAACCATAGAAGAACTTGAAGAAGTGTTAGCTAAGGTGAAAAGTACCTCCCCGGGACCTAATGATATCCCTTACATTTTCTTGACTAAACTTCCTCCATCTGGCAAACATCATCTTCTAACAATCTTCAACAACATTTTTCAATCTCGCCAATTTCCTGCAACCTGGTTGTATGCTATTGTTCTACCTCTCCAGAAAGAAAACAAACCACGGTCAAACCCTCAATCCTACAGGCCTATCTCTCTGACATGTACCATGTCTAAGGTACTAGAGAGAATTCTGAACGCTAGACTGGAACCTGGAACAGAACAACTTAATAATTCCTCAACAAAGTGGTTTTCGTAAACATCGATCCACCACTGATAATCTAGTTATTATGCAATCAACCATTCATGAAGCCTTTGCAAACAACCATTAAGTTATAGCTGTCTTCTTCGATATAAACCGAGCATTTGACACAGTATGGAGAAGGCACGTTTTGAACCAGCTGAAATCGTGGCAAATCCAGGGGAACCTTCTTGCTTTCATAGCGAATTTCTTGGAAAATAGATCTTTCTCAGATAGAGTCAATGGCTCACTGTCCAACAGAAAAATCCTAGAAAATGGCACTTCTCAAGGTTCAGCCCTCAGTGCGACCCTGTTTCTAATAGCTATCAATAGCATCCTAAATGGAATCAGGAGTCCAGTGAAAGGTCAACAGACCATTGAGGCGATATTCTGCCATGGTGCTTCTTAGCCATGTTTTCAGTCTGAGGCTGCTGCTAAAGGATCGCTCTATTGCTTTTTCTGTTCCGGGAAAGTAGGAATTCATTTCTTTTAGGACATCAACAACTGTAAGATTTGTTAGATTAAGCCTATCGTGCCACAATTGCTGCCAAAGTTCGATTTCATTCTTTGTGTTAGGTAAATCATAAAACTGGGCAATAGATTCACAAGTTTGTTTCAGATTTTCAGTTG